CAATTGAGGAATTTGTGGATGATTGTTGCCTCCATAGTGACCGAGTCCGACTAAGACTCGATGTGAACTGTCCCTCTAATTGTGGTGTGACCGTAGCGATGTCACTTTTTTATTCTAATTGATGAGTGGCTGAATTTTTTTCACCACATAACATCTGGCAGGTTCTGGGGGGCAGTGGTTCTTAGTTATTTAAGCAGAATTTTAAATACTACACTCAGGCTCACACATATGTATAGATACAGGGCTTTATATCTAAGACAGAATTATGTAAAGCATGTAAGAACCACAGCCTCTTTGAAATTCATTTTGGGTAAAGGTATATGCAAAGAGCAACAGATGTCTAACGGGAAGACCAAGCCCCTAAAGGAAATGTGGGGGAGAAAAGAAGGGATTCGATGGGAGAGGGGGGTATATGGGGGTAAGCTAGGTCAAGGATAGGTTAGTCCTTGGGTTAGGCGAGGTAGGTGGTCAAGGTGCTAATGGACACAAGAAGATCAAAGTGAAAGTCCGCTGTCATGGCTACTGCCACCTGACCTGACGTCACCTCGCAAAACCTCTAGGTATGTGACCGCATGGGGTCTCTCCACATTCACACTGTACCCTTCATGGCTCCACCGACACAACTCTTTTACTATGGTTAATAATTAATTAAATTAATTCAAAAATATATTATTAGTTTGCATGTAAAAAGTAACAAAATTTGTTTTTCAATTGTATTTGAGGAAAACTATTAGAAAACCAAACTTAAGTAAAAGTACTAAAATATTGGAGTACTTTTTAAAAAGTAGTTACCCAAAAAGGTACTCGAGTACAGTACTTAAGTAAATTTATTTAGTTACTTTACAACTCTGCCCATAGGTGCCAGATAACCAGGATTCTACTGATCTTTATTTTCATCTCTGATGTATATTTAAGGAACTACAACAATGATTTGAATAAAGTGGGGAAAGGCTTTAAAGACAAGGGAAAATGTGAGGTTAAAACACACACACAAAAAATGCCAATCAGTCCTTTGAGAACCTGACACAATCTTTCCCAGCATAAAAGTCAAATTACTGTACAACAAAAACTTAACTGATGAAGGGGTACTAAATAATTATCTTCTTGTTTTTGAGTGTTTTCGGTTAAGTTAGGTAAGGTTAGGATAGATTAGGTTGAGATTCACTTGGTTTGGTTAGATAGTAAGGTTAGGTTAGATTAGATTAGATTAGATTAGGTTAGGTTAGGTTAGGTTAGGTTAGGTTAGGTTAGGTTAGGTAAGGTAAGGTAAGGTTAGGTAAGGTTAGGTTAGTTTAGATTAATCAGAAAGAAGGCCTTCTTAGTAACTATCATTGGTAAAGGTGGAGAAGACGGCCCAAATGCGTTTTTATACAATATTTCGTTCATATTTTCCTGTAATAAAATCTAAACAACAACATTGTAGTATTTTTTTTTTTACAGGGATGCACCATTTAGTGATCGGGATGCATTCCTGAAAAACAGATGGCTAAATGATTTCATTGACGAGCGGGACAGAAACGAGGAATAATATCCATGGAGATGGCACGTAATTGTGTAGCGGAGACACCTGGCCAACTTGCCACCCAGTAGCACTCAGAGCGGATAAGGGTGAGTTGTGAGATACTTTATTCTTCAACTCATAATTTTGGGTAGATACATGTAATTTTCCCCATTTTTTTTTTTACTGTTTTACATGCACACACATTCGTTCATACAGAATGTGCAAACAAATTAAAAAAATAATTATTATAAGGTCAAAAACAAAGGGAATACAATAAACAGTTCTTATCTGGTCTACCTCCTAGCTGACAAGAGCAGAGGGGGAAGGAGGAGCAATCACTTCCGTACACAATATCACAATAGTACAGGGTAATGAACTTTCTGTACAGTACTCGATAACACGCCAAAGTCACAACAATAACAGCGATGAACATCAATAGGAACGATGCACAGTGATTGATAATAAACAGAGCAAAAAGGAAAGCGCAGATTGCAATGATCAAAGGCAGGGTAAACACTAGTGCAATCCAGTAATATCTCTGTTAGCCAGAATTCCTCAAACCTGGAATTTTAATTTTCTCTGAAAATCGTTCCCAAAGCCGGAATTTAACTTTTACAAGCATACAGTAAGTACAGTACAGTGCATTACCCTTATTCAAGATGACTGGAAAGAGGCCATCAAGTGGAAGTGACCGCAGTAGTGCAAAAAGAAGCCGCAAAGGCATTACATTGGATATTAAACTTGATGTTTTAAGAAGGTATATCATAAATTATTTAATGTACTGTATGTGTTTATAAATGTTTATTTTCATTCATAAAAGTGATTGAATTACTTTTTTGGGGCCGAAAAAAAATCCTCAGGAACGCATCTCCAGTTTGATAATGGAAGTCAATGGGAAAATAGGTTTCGCGTTACGGAATTTCGCGATACGGTCAATTTTCCAGGGACGCAACCCTTCCGTAACGCAGTGGATGCCTGTATAACAAACCTAGATCTGTACCTCCTCTGGATACCAAAAAATTCCTTTCTGTTTTTTGCTGCAAAAGCTAGATTATGATTTCTAAAATCATTTCTAAAATTCAGGTTGGCTAATTCATAGGCAGTATCTTCTATAGCAGCTCCCTTTCCAAGTGGTTTAGTGTCGGCCTTGAAAATAGGTTTCCCAGCGAGTTATAGATCACGAAACCGAACAATTGCAGATCGTTAAATAACCAGGGGCGTTAGAAATTTTAAATCACTAAACTGAATTATCGCAAAGTGAACGATCTCTAAATGGCGAATACAGTATCTGTATTTCTTTGTAGCCTATCCTTCAATCATAAATTACAGTACTTGTTAGTGGTCAGTGCCTAAAAGAAGAGGGAAATGACAGGGGTAAAAACCCTGTGAACACTGATCATATGGCAGTAATTTGACGTCTCTACGTGTTTTGTTGGCAAAGAAATAAATTATTGGTAAAACTGTAGATAACAGCTACCACCAGAAGTCATTTGTTGATTTTCTTTTTATTTGGTGTACTTATTGTTTTTGATGATTTTAAGTACCTGTATATTAAAAGAAATGACAACTTTCTATTATGACTTTTTTTTTATTATATTTTTTTTTTGCTCTATCCCACTTCATAATTCTCCTCCCGGCACCATTTTTTTTACCTAGCTGAATCCCACTTCAAGAGACGTTTTCTATAAATGATGGTGAACGCTTCCACGAATTCCTCCTTGCCATTGCTGATGTATATCAATCTCAATATTAAGGCAAGTTGTTTAACACATAAATTAACACGACAATGCATAGAACCTAATGAAACCTGTCCTAACATACCCAACCTATAGGTATGTTAGGTCAGGTTCTATTAGGTTCTATGCATTGTCATTTCCATTTTCGTGTTTAATATCATATTTGTGTGTAAAAAAAATTTCAACCAATTCGGACAATTCCTTCTGGTGGTAGCCGTTATCTACACCTTTACCAAATTATTTACCATAATTATGGTTCCGTCGGATATCCCATGGCAACCATGCTTTGGTTCACATTGTCTACTGTACAGAAGCATCCACTGTTTTTGTTTACGTACATGTCAAGACACAAATAACAAGTTCATCAGGTGTGTTCATTACAATTTATAGTAGATTGAAATATTTATTTTTTTCTAGAGATGTTGTTTGACTGATAGTATGAAAATGTAAATGACAAGGCACGGGTTAGGTAAGGTTCTAATGGGTTCTGGAGCAGATTGTTAACACCAGAACTCATTGTTGGATTCCGCTCATTTTTTTTTCCACAGGTGTTCTTTGGATGATAGTAAGTACAGTATTAAAAATGATACAACAATGCACAGAATCTAATAAAACCTGACCTAACCCACCAAAGAATCTTGCCTAACATTACTTAACCCCCTACCCCGGGGCCCTCCACCATATTAAACAGAAAATACTTACTTCGATATTTGGTACCAATGAAAGCAACTTTCTTGAAGTGACATGGTGTAATTTAACGTTTCTTGTGGACGTGAGAGTACGCTCAAACCGAGCGGCTCGGTTGTAGCACAGAAACAAAGAGCAGATGACACCACAAGCCAACACGGCAGATTTTTCGGAGGAATATTTCCGGTAAATAATTAATTTCTTCACATACAAAGCATGTGGAGACATCATTTTAGTGTCATATGATAAATTTTTCACTTTGCTTTACCCCGCAATTTCCCTCATCCTTCATACCCTGATCACTACAGGTCGTTTATCATCGTAGAGAAAAAATATAAATAAAATAAAATAATTATAAGTTAAAATAAGTTGTGGTATCATTTATATAACTCACTATCATCCAAAGAACATCAGTGGTATAAGTGAACATCATCGAAAGACTCCTCCTAGTGTTAGCAGTCTGGTAAACTATTTAAAAAAAAAAATAATTACCAGGCAATGGGCCCACTGCCAGTATTAGCCCACCTAAGTATGGCAAAGGGGATAGAAGTAAAAAAAAAAAAATTAAAGCATGTATTAAGAAATGCAGATGGACAAAAATTACATACTGAAATCTCCTGGCTGTGGACATGGTACCAGGCATAGACCCCCAAAGACTATGCACCCTGGGCAGTGAGTCCAACCACCTCACCTGAAGATGTTTTATGACATAACTGTACACAAAATACATAAATATGGGTACATGAACAAGAATGCTATCGCTTACGTTTCAATGAAAAGGGTTCCGGCTACTAGACCGAGTGCCTAAGTGTTTTCAGTGACACCTGCGTACAGTAACAAACCAATTTCAATTACTCAAATAATTTATATTTACTACTTCATTAATATAATTGCGTAAATTCAGTGGTCATTGTTCACCGTATATCAAGAGGGTATTTATCAATATTTCATTAGGTCATAACTCAGTACAAGGTTCTAAATGTACAGCATGGATACTAAAATGGAGTGTGTTATACTTGTACCTCTAAATACTGGAAACTGTCTAACAACTATTAGTGAAGGAGGTAACGACTCACAGGTCCCTGCTGGTGTATCATTAGAGCCGGGTTGTACAATGTATTTTGAAATTCTTGCATTTTTACACTTAATACCATTATAATAATAAAATTAATAGTATTTATTATGCAATTCCTTTTTATTAATGATTTTAATTAGAATATATTTGTAAATATTGACTACATTAGCTTCGCAGGCAGCATATTGTCCTGATTATTGAGTGGACAGTATGTGAATAATGTGACCCGTACTGAGTCACCCCTGTCGTCTGCTCCTGAATCTACAAAACTTAAAAACATTGAGTTATTTTAATTACCAAAGAGATTTAAGGTTATGGCTGAATTAAATTCAGTATTCTAAAACTATCAAATTTATTATTGGTGGACATAGACAAGTCATTTATATTAAACTTGATGGTGAGGTGAGGGGGCGGGTCACGGGCAGGGGTGTGTCATAAAATAAGTAGCTAATCTTCTTACAGCCAACCCAGTTACGCTTTTTTTTATAAGTTGCATATTGTATGAATATAAATATAATGAATAATGCTTAACAACTCATGGCACTTAAAGTACCTTAAAAAAGGACATGTTGTATACATCTAATCTACACCTTTTACGGCTATTAGCTTGTTGCTTGAAGATTGGGAGAGTGATCGGTTTCTCCTCCATCCTGTGTGAGTGGTCACTCCGGGGTCACCATTTGTGGGGTATGGGTTGTTTGTTTGGGTTCACACTCAGGATGGGATGGAGAAAGGAAACTCACAATGTGCTCTCTGTATACATGTTGTATTGGATGTACAATGCAGCTTGGTACTGGGAAGGCAGCATGGTTACAAGCGTGATGTAGAGAGAGCTGGTTGGTGAGGGTGCTCAGAGGAGGACAGCTTGTGGGTCGCCATGCTCGCCGGCGGGAGCGAGGACCGCCAGGCAGGCGGAGGAGGAGGTGGAGGTGTTGCTGGCTGGTTGGTGTAGGTAGAAAGAGAGCGATCACCACGAGGTCAGGTCTTAAATAGCGGGGGTTGGCGTGGCTTAGTAGTTGACCCCCGCTCCGTGGGCGGCGCTGGTTGACCTAGACCACGAGGCATACACTGGGGAATTCGCGGGGTCGGCTATGCAGCGACAAACAGCGTTTATAGGGGAGAAATCCACTACAATACTCCCTCCTTCCCTCCAGGCGGTGTAGGAGACTTGTTGTCTGCAGGGTTGCATAGCACATGTGAGGCAGAACGGGAGGTGCATGCCTCATGTGAGACAACGGCGATGGCGTGGATGAGCCGGTCGCTGGAGACAACTGTCTAGATACACAATATCTGTGGGAGTAGAGAGGGAGAAAAAGGGTGTGTGGAGGCGATGAATGTTGTGCTTCCCTCACGGCAGGTACAGAGTCGTGAGATGCGCCTGCTGGGGTGTGTAGGCCTGGGTCAGGAGCAGGGGCTGCGTCAGAAGAAGCGGATGAGGGCTCGTGACAGCAGCTGGGTCCACGACAGCAGCAGGGTGCAGGACATTAGCAGGGAGTACCTGAGGGAGAAAAGAGGGGTATGTGGGTCCGCACTTAGGAGCAGGGGCCGCGTCAGGAGAAACGGCAGGGGGTACTGCTGGGGCCGGGGCGGCGTCTGAGGCAGAACGGGCGGTGCATGTGCTTCCCTCACGGCAGGTACAGAGTCGCTCCGTGGGCGGCGCTGGTTGACTTAGACCACGAGGCACACACTGTGGAATTCGCGGGGTCGGCTACGCAGCGACAAACAGCGTTTGTAGGGGAGAAATCCACTACAAGCTAACTTCCCCATCTAGAGTACTGCTGTAGCGTACTGTATTGTCTATTATCTCTTTGTATGGCCACACAACGTACGTACATGTAGATATCTCACACTCAGGAATGAGGTAGAATAGAAACTCACGATGCGTTTTCTGTATATATATTGTTGTACAGAGTAGTGCTAAGGAGTTACTAGGTGAGGTGTAGCTTGCTCAGAGTTCCTGTAGGGCGAGGAGCTCTCTGAGGAAGCTGGGTGGTGAGGTGCTGGAGAGAGATCTTGCTGGTCCTGCAGGTCAGAGTAGAATGGTCTCCCTGTCTGTTGTTGTTGTTGAGATTGTGGGACCGTAGTCCGACACGGGCCTTTGCCTATAGGCGGCCCGTTTGGTGGTTCCGGCTGGAGCTCCAGGAGCAGCCAGACCGGATTGGGATTGGAGGTGGTCCTACCCGCAGATTTGGAAGGATACTGCAGGTTGCAAGTGTGAGCGGACCCCCGATCAGTGGACGCTTACCACCAACCCCCACTCTTGGACGTGGTCAGTTTCGGAGTGGCACGCCCCCCAAACTGGGGTCCGCACTTGCTGGGAGAGGATACTTTCTAAGCTATCTGGGTGATGGGTATCGTGTGATGACCCGGAGAAGGTGGTGAATGTGGTTTGTTTGGGCCTTTCGGGTTAGAGTGGCCGCTGGTGTTGTGTGTGCTTCTAGGGAGATTTAAGTTCTGTTTCGGAGGCTCTGTGTGACTTCGCAGTCGAGGAGATAGTGTTCAAGTGGGTTGGCTGCTGGCTCCTGACAGTAGGTGCATTCCATGATGTCATTTCCGATCATCTGCCAGAAGCACTTGTACCCTAGTCGTAGTCGATGAAGGCTGACTTGGGTTTGTCTTGGTGTTTTCTTGTCCGCGAAAGGTGGTTCCCCTTTTGTAGCCGCCAGGTACCATTTGGCTGATTGGGAACCAGCGTTGAATGTGTGAAGGAAGCTCTTTTTGATGTGGAGCTTGCTAGTATTTCTGAGGTGATTCTTGATCTGTTGCACACTTGCTGGAACTTGAATGTGTACGCTACTAGAACGTGTAGCTGCCTTGGCTGCTTCGTCTGCCACGTCGTTTCCTCCGATCCCTACATGACTGGGAATCCAGTGTAAGACGACTGGGCGGTTTTGTTTTTGGAATTCCTGTAGCTGTGCGAGGATCGAGGTTATGATGTGGACGTTGTCTCTTGGCTGACTGTGTTGCAGCGCCTGCATGACCGATTTCGAGTCCGTGTGAATTATGATGGACTTGTTGTGTTGTGTTGCAGCGTGTTGTGGGGCCTTTGAGATTGCTACCAGCTCTGTTTGTAGGGTGGAGCAGTCATTAGAAAGTCTCCATCGGAGGGTCTGACCTTGGGTGTAGAAGGCCGCTCCGGATCTATGATGTTTTGGATCCACCGAGCCGTCTGTGAAGTATGGTGCTGCATCAGCCAGTGTCTCGGTGGCTATGGCTTCCAGAGTTATTCTTTTGAGGTCCTCCTTCTGGAGGTTGGCTTTGCTTTCACCTAGGTCGGTAATTTTTAATGTGGCTGGTGGAGGGCTCCATGGTGGAGGAACTACGTAACCATTGTCTCGTGTGTCTTGGTTGTTCTTGACGAGTGTTTCTGCTTGCAGGTGTCGGATGACCTCGCTTGCCTCGTGCGACCAGGTGGCCCCTCGCACTCTGTGGTCGAGGCGGAGGGAGGCACTGATTCGAATTTTGGCAGCTGTGGGCATATCTGATCTACAGAGTTTGGCGAGGAGACCGGCTGTCGCCTGCTTGACTCGTACTGCCAGGGATGGTAGTTCAGTTTCCATTTGCAAATTGCAAATTCTGGTCCACATGGGTGCTCCGAGCATGGTCCTGAGAGCATTATTTTGGATGACTTCTAGCTTAGCTATCTGGTCTTCTCTCAGTCCAATGAGTGCTGGAGCACTGTAATCTACCAGAGATCTGATGGCGGCCGTATCGTAGGCTTTGAGCACATGAAGGTTTGCTCCTGCGGTTGTGCTAGTGAGCGACCTCATTATATTGTGTCTGCTCTTCGTCCTGTGCCTGAAATACTCGAGTTGCGGCTTGAAAGTGAGTTTCTGGTCAAACCAGATTCCAAGACACTGGTGAGTGTTGGTCTAGACTACCGGCGTGTTTTGTATGGAGAGCATCTTGTCAGGTATGTCTGTGCAGATGGCCATCACTTTCGACTTGGCTGGATTTATCTTGAGTCCAAGTCTGTTGCACTCCTCTTCTATAAGTTCGAGTGCGTGTTGCGTGTTGGCTAGTCTGTTTGATCCTCTTACTATAAGCTGTAAGTCGTCTGCATAGCATAGGAGCTTGGCTGTTTGTCTGAAAGGAAGTTTGACTAGATTTTCCATCAGGACATTGAACAGCATTGGACTGAGGATGCCTCCTTGTGGGGTTCCGTTTTCATGGACCCTGTAGCTTGAGGTTGCTCCCTGAAAGCGTACTCTTGCTTCTCTCTGTGTGAGGTAGTTCTGGATCCACCCCAGCAACCTTCCTTTGACGCCTTTTTCAGCGAGCGTCGTTGTAATGGCCAGTGGATTTGCTAGTTCGAAGGCCTTCTCCAGGTCGAGGAAGACCACCAGAGCTGGTTTGTAGTCCACTGTGCTGAGTATCTCGGCGATGTTGTTGCCTGTGCCGGTGTTCTCGGTGTAAGCAAAGATGTGAGGGTGTGGGCTGCCTACTTTCCACTTGAGTCGGTTGAGAGCCATTCTTTCTCCCGTCTTCGCTATGCAGCTGAGAAGGGAGATGGGCCTCGGTTTGTCTGGTTCTCTGGGCTTCGGAATGGGCTGTATATCTGCCTTCTTCCATTCCGGTGGGAGTCTTTGTGCTGTCCACGAAGCATTGATGGCTTGTAGCAGAGCCTCGTGTCCGGCTGTACCGGCATGGGAAAGCATGGAGTAGGTTATCCTGTCGGCCCCTGGTGCTGTGTCCTTGCTTCGTTTTAGCGACTTCTGGAGTTCTTGCTGGTTGAAAGGTCTGTCGGTGTCATCTTCACTGTTGCAGGCCTCTTCGATCATCTGCAGTCTGACCTGTCGCAGACGCCGTTGAGTCTCCTCCGCCTGTCTCGGGAGGTTTTTCGTTGCTGCTCGGTCAGAAAACAGTTTTGCAAGTCTCTCGGCTTCCTCTTCTGGGTTGGGATGGGTTGGTGGTGGTGGTGTTGCCTTCCCAGATGCCCTTCGGATCTGGGCCCACATCTTGCCAAGGGAGGTGTGCTCGTTCAGTTCAGAGCACCACTTGAGCCAGCTTACGTTTTTTATT